TGTCACCCAAAGGGGTAGGCAGAGACTATGGACTTCCATTTGGCACGATTTAGCTTATAAGACTTATCGAAAAGATTGCCAACCAATTTTCCTCATAGAAATGTATGTTTGCGGATAGATGTTTCATAAAGCGGAATAAGGACCATGCGAAGACTTAACTGAATGGGCGGCCCGGGTTCGTCATCTCGAAGTTTTGTGGTTTTAAAATAAAATTCGAGACGGTATTATGAGACAAGTTTGTACTAGGATTGGCAAATGCCGAGGAAAAAGAAAAGTTTTTAGTGAAAACATCGATAGCGTGTTCAAGTGTTCAAGTTGCAGTTCAAAGGTCATTGCAAGATGAGGAACTAGCCATATCATCAGCAGCAACGCAACACGTTTTCGCTTTACGAGCCCAAGAAAATTCTGTTCGTCAAACTATAGAAAAAAAAACATATCTTGCTTGGTTTGTGGACGGACATAAGAACCATACTAAAGGTAAATATGCGAATTATTTTTGTCAAATGTATATTAAAATAGGGCATTTAAAATGTGTTTATATGAGTAGTTATAAGAGCAACAATTATTTGGAGGTGGAATGACAACGATTTAGTAAAAGGTATTTCATACGATTTTTATATTACTATAACTTTAAGTACTGAAATTGTTTGTTTTTATATTGTAATTATAAAAACAAACAATTTATTAAACAACCAGTTCTGTTGGGTGGTGATTTAATTACGTCGTTTAATATAAAACTGTGTATTGGTGACTGTAACAACTTACAGCATAACGATTTAGTAAAGCAACTGAAGGAAACATATTCACAGTTGTTTACAGATGAACAGGGGACTTTTAATAAATATAAAGTAACGTTAAAAATAAATAATGATGCTCAGTTAAAGTTTTTTAAGCCGAGAAGAGTACTAGATCTTTGAAAAAGTTGAGTTAGTTATAATTGTATAGAAGTTGAATTATTTTTCTATATATTATTGTTAAACTAGATTATATGTTAGATTGCCCTTGCATTACATAAGTTATGTGAAATAAGTCTGCCTTGTTTATTTAATTTGTTTGAATTCCAGGTTGATCTTCATCTTCCACGTAGATAATCTACATATCAGTACAGAGATATTTTTTTATAGTATAGGGTGACAAGCGAGCACATAGTCCACCTGATGGTAAGTGATTGCTGTGGCCCATAGACATCTACATCTATCATTGACTACAAATCAAAATGCAGATGCGTTGTTACCCATGAGGACGAGATGGAATGCCTCTTTTCCAGTAAAAAGGTCACCGGTTCTCTACACTCACCATACGAAACACAGCAGCATTAAGCTGCTATTTTACGCTGGTATTCTGTGAGAGCGTGGTCCTTCCCCGGTCGAACTGACCCATTCGTGCTACAACTATACAACTAATATAGCTGCAGCATGACTCTACCACGTAAATATATAATATATTGAGCCTGTACCTAGCTCATCTGCTTATACTGCATCAATCAGTGGTGTTGAAGTGACACCAAGAAAGAGGGAAAGATTAAAAACAATATCTAGATTCGCTATCAAGAGTACGAAACGTTATAATTTCAATGCCGATCGATCGGAATTGTTTTCAAGAGTAAGCTTGCAGAACAGTCAAAATTTAAAACAACCCAACTCTACGAAACACTAATTGGCGTTATTAATCAATATTATAACTTGTATGCGTTTCTAAAAAAATGAAAAACAAACTAATGAAGTTGTGTACTTCACTACAACAATGTAATAGAACAACGTACAACGATGTAATAGAACAGACCACTATAATAGTTCCCCTTGAGAATAGCTGGGTATCAAGTCCAAGCGTGAGTGTTCGACCTTACGCTCACAACCTAATTGGCGAGCGATGCCCGGGGTAATTCGACGGCTCGCGTGCCGATGGAACTGAGGTATGCGTTAGATCAATTGTATCATCGCTTTTCGGGGCTCCTTGTGGTCGGAAATGAAGGTATCCAATGTGGTAAACGTACGTCATGTCTAATTAATGTTTATATTGAGTACTTACAGTTCGTACTATCGTCTCTTTTTATCAGCATTAAAGTTTGGGCATAAATATCCCTAGTCCGTGATAAGCTTTCTGTATAACTTTTTGAGTCCTTATTTTATTTTGACCCATAATTTCATTTTTTTTAGCATAGCATCTGACTCTTAAAATTAATTTAGTAATTTGGTAATAGCGATTGGAAAAAACATTTTTGTATTAAATAGTATATGAAAGGTAAAAAAAAGATTATCTCGTCTGATAAAGATTTCCACCAACAATTAAAGTTAGACTAAAAAAGGTCTAGTTTCTTGCCTATCCGATTATTGCCATTTGTATCACAGAACAACAGCATAAAATAGAAACTTAATGCTGCTGTGTTTCCTATGATGAGTGTAGAGAACCGGAGACCCTTTTTATTAGAAACGAGATATTCCATCTTAGTCCTTAAGGGTGACAACGCATCTGCATTTTATTTCTTAACTGAGGATAAATGTAGATGTCTATGGTGTGCTCGATAGTCACACTTTTTCTATAAAAAATAATTGTAGTCACCACATATTAAAAAAATAATAAATTTTAACTTTATATCGGGTATTCTAGGCTTGTAAATTGAAAGTTATTTGTGAGATATTGCCGTACTTGATTTTTTTTAACTTTTTTTCATTGATGCTTCGAGCTAAAATTTTAAGGTTTGCGTTAACTTGAAAGTATATATAGAATATAATAAATATAAAATAAGATATAAGAAATATAAAAAAATAGAATATAAATAGAAATATATATATATTTTAATAATTCACTTGGCTTATCTCTTCCTATGAAATAAGAATCGATGATTTTCAACTGGCAAATCTCTTATGTTTCGACATTGACAAGGGATCTCCTGATTTGAAAAGGGATTCCATATAAGTTTATTTGGCATAGTAAGAAGTCCGACGAATAGTCGACTTAACTTGTTTATTTCTGAATAAACTGCGCGCTTCAAAGATGTTATCCACCAGTACAATGTGAAAAGGTTTTTGATTGTTTACCTATTTCATAAATTTATTCACCGACAATTGGACCCTATTCAAGGATTTTGTCAACTTATTTTCTTTCTTCAGTACTCACATTATTTATTTAGGTACAAATATACGTATTTTTCAAAATCATTACTCAGGCAGATCTGATAAAAGCGAAAGGATATCTACCGTTAATTTCGTTTTTTTTTTAATATAACGTAATTTTAAAATACTCGACCTAAGAATACCAGCGTAAAATAGCAGCTTAACGCTGCTGTGTTTCGTATGGTGAGTGTAGAGAACCGGATACCCTTTTTACTGGAAACGAGGCATTCCATCTTAGCCCTCACGGGTGACAACGCATCTGCATTTTGACTCTTAATCGAAGATAGATGTAGATGTCTATGGGCCACAGCGACCACTTACCCTCAGGTGGACTGTGTGCTCGTTTGTCACCTTTATCCTATAAAAAAAAAATCGACCTAAGAAGATAATGGTGAAATTGTCGCATGGAATAGCAATCACTAAAGAGGTAAAGTTGTTTGTAAGTATAAATTTGTTCTTCGGAGGAAATCCATTGATTCGATTCTCAATATTCTTTTACCGATAAAAATATACCTTATACCCAAGTGCCATACGATGTTTAATTGTAATAGAAATTTGTTTTCAGGGCCCTGCTTGGCCGGAACGGTGCCGGAGTCACGTCCCGGATTCGCTGCTAGGGTGAGAAAGGTTGGTGTTTCCCGAGTGGGAGGTAGATTCGGACACCGGCGCGCATTACCCTAACCTGCTATAGAATATGGTAAAGAGATGTACTTCCCAAGAAGGGTTCGCCAATCAGCCGGCGCTAGTGTGGCTGCTGATGTATATGTGAATGTATATGTATAAATATGTATGTGGTTGCGAAAGCGTTCCCGTGGCCCGTTTAATATGTAATAAAGGTGCAACACCATAGGGTTTTAGTTAGTCGGAGTCTTACATAACCCCATAATTGCCCCCCGAGGCGGGTATGTGTAGGATACCCCTGTGGATAAAAAAGGTTTACTGTCTCCGCTTCTCAAAAGGACGTTGAATAAAGTTGAGTATTCTTAACATTGGCTTTGTCTTTTCTTGAGATTTCTTGAGCTTTGTCTTTTTTAAGTAGACAGTAAGTATGAGTATTGTTTTTCCTTCGTATTTACTTATAACTTATAAAATTCTTACGAAGTAATTAGTTGTTAATTAAATAATTTATATTATGTACTAATATATTTCTTTTCGTTTATATTATTTAAAAGAATAATTTAATTGTAATAATGTTGTTTTAATGTGTTTGTCTTTTGACTATATTACTTATTACTTAACGAATTTAAAGCTTATACTTTTATAGATAAAAAATGAGTAATGATACATACAGTACTAAATTTACTATGAACAAAATGTGGAGCGGCCCCCACTATGTAGTGTCAGTTCGTTATTCCATGTGGAATAACGAACTGATATGACATGCAGGAATTCGATGGCCACCAGCACGGCTAGTATGGGCTGGGGACAAAAATTTTATCCCCCGATTATATCCACTGACAAGAGATACAATTATTTTGTCCTTATGCCAAAGCACGGCAACGGGGAGAAGTATATCCCCGTTTGACATAACAAGTAGACATAATGCATGGAGCCAAATGAAAGATAAAAAATTATGCTTTTTTGACATTTGAAGGGGGCAATTCTATCCTAGTTCATTGGACGTGGGTTTAAGTTTATATTCATACAAAAGATCTATCTGAGTCCAAGTCTGTCTCCCATTTTATCTACTGTGGATATTATATCCAACAGTGTGCCCATGCTCAAAGGGTGGATAAAACTAAGCGAGAGGATAAACATTTTATCCTTTCCCCGGGGATAATACTGTCTCCTGCCCATGCTAGCCCCGCTGGATTCAGATGTTCAGTGGCAGTCTGGAGGGGGCCTTTATTTAGGAGTGGACTTGTGAAATATATTTGTTTAACTTACCATAAGCTCCCGACGTAGTTTATCGAGCTCCTGGGCAGATGGTGGTGCAGGTTGCACCCTTCCTCTTCGCAGTTCTTCCAGTTGCCGCGTCAGCTCTTCGACCTTCGCCACGGCCACCGATAGCTCTTTCTCCTTCTCATTGAATAATGCGCGTATAGACTCCAGGTCACTATCTGGGGACAATAGATTTGATTGTATAATAATTGAATAGTACTTTAATATATAATGATTTCTTATATTTACGCGAACACTACACATTTTTAAATAAAACTAATTTTACGGATTTTATCGCGTATATTAACTTATTTTTATATTCCCGACGTTTCGGGTGCTTTCCAGCACCCGTGGTCACGGGGGGACTGAGTTGTTTGACGTCCTGCTGTCATAGTTAGCCCGGCTACCTTCAGTTTTTTAATATTAATTTTTGGTTCGATTTACGCAGAATGAGCTTACAGTATCTTGAAGTCTAGCAGTGGTATACTTGGGTTTGGATTTGATTTTATTAATTATGGGATCCCAAGCAGATGGCAGCACCCATCCATCTTCTCTATTCAAATTAGGATGTTTTTTAATTTCAATAGCCTCGCGAATCATCCTTGGGAGGAATCGGTGTTCTTTTGCGAGGATTTGTGGTCTATCAAATCTAATGTAATGACGGGGACGATCCTGAACATGTTCACAAACTGCAGACTTCCCGATACGTCGGTGCTTCACGTCAGCTATATGTTCTTTAACGCGGGTTTTAATAGATCTTTTTGTTTGTCCTATGTACGAGAGACCACATTCACAATCCAGCTTGTACACTCCTGCATCTTGTAGAGAATATAAAAATAAGTTAATATACGCGATAAAATCCGTAAAATTAGTTTTATTTAAAAATACTTTAATATATTTTATTTAATTGTGTAACCTATATGATTGTAATTCTGTTTTAAAAAAATGTCTCGCTCAGTTTCTTGCTGGTTCATCTCAGGGCAGAGATATTTTCCGAAACAGTAGTAAATTAAACACAAGAGTGACTTTCAATAAGTATTATTTATAATAGATATTGAATAGAAGGTTTCTGCTGTTTATAATTGCATTATAAAATTAGAAGCAAATGTTGCCTAGAAATAAAGCAGAAGAGCGAAAGAAGGGGAAATGCAATTATATCTTTGTGTACTATATACACACCCAAACACGGTTCTCTGTTTACTACCTCGATTATAACACAAGACCAAACATTGTATACGATACAATTTATATTATCTACAACTGCCATGTTCCTATGTTGAGTTTTTTTACATACTATTAATTATTTTAAAAACTAGTAACTTCTAATTACTTAAACTGCCGAGTAATGCCGTCGTTTCAAGACATTTAGCGAGCAAATTCAACGAACGTAAATTATAAAAGTAATACATAGGGACATAACCAAAATCCTTCTTATTTTATTGTTTATGAAACAATAGGTCTATATAGGTTAGGTAAGTCCATTAATTTTTCCTAAGGATAATCAATCTTTAAAAGCTTATTTCACATTTCTTGCAGCCCGGATATCCTCTTTAGATTCTTGACGAAATGGTGATAAATCCCTTAGGATAGATCGATTTTGACTAGAGCAACATTTGACTAACAGCGAGTGTAAGAAATCTAAAAATAATAAGCAACGCATATTTTTAACCAAGTTCAAAAAACGAGAATATCATATGGTATTGACCGTGTGTTTTTTATATATTATGCTAACCGATTTTTCGGTAACAGGTAAACCGATTTAAATGATATCTTTTTTAAATGCACTATAACTTCTGGGGTGTTCCCATATAAATTTAAAGAAAAATATCAACCCTAAGGGTGGAATTCTAGGCAATGATGATTTTAATATGCTAAACATATTATAATTTATAGTATTAGTTTACAGTATTTTGAATTTTAATAAAAAGTCGAATCGGAATAAAAATCCAAAAAATAAATTGCACATAACTTCTCAAGTTGGGGCTTAATCGTAATTATTCGATACATAATGTCTTGGCACCGACTTCAGAAGCATTAATGTGGAAATATTTATTATTCATTCTTCAAGTCCGTTCTACTTTTTAGTAAAAGCTAATTTTAATAAAAGTTGATTATTGATTTAATGAAGGACATTTATAAACAATTTGTTGTTCAAATATAATATTATCTTAACGGTTTCATTTTCGTCGTAATTTTTATCGTTGAAAATTATTGCCTTATTATTTAACTGTGTTTCCGCAAGTTACATACAGTTACTTACTTCTTAACTCCTTCATATGTAAAAAATTACGCAACAATGGCACCACGCTTTTATAAAAAAGCAAGTAACTCGTCATTTATAGAACAGTCGCAATACATTAAGCAAAGAAAATGCTATTTCACAGTTTGAACGACCAGCTGAGACCAATTTAAAAGCTCCGAGGGAAATACTCCGACCTTTCAATTACTGAAGACAATAAAGAGGGCTTTATCTGTATGAGGAGACGGGCTTTCGTTCGTGCCCGACAACTCAATGGTAACGTCATCATTGTTTTATTCTTTTAAAGGTATAGATAAGTCTTCCATGTATGCTATAATAATTTTTAATATTATAGTTAAAATTATATTATAAATAATATGTCTTTTCGTTGGTGTACTCGTATGCGGCGGCTGTAGCAAAAGCCAAAAATATATCATAGCCGTAGATGGCGATAACCCAAAGGTCCCAAACGTCTACAGCTATTGCTGTGTGCTCCTGCTATTGCCGTATGCTCCTGCTATTGCTGTGTGCTCCTGCTATAGCTGTGTGCTCCTGCTATTGCTGTGTGCTCCTGCTATTGCCGTATGCTCTTGCTATTGCTGTGTGCTCCTGCTATTGCTGTGTGCTCCTGCTATAGCTGTGTGCTCCTGCTATTGCTGTGTGCTCATGCTACTGCTGTGTGATCCTGCTATTGCCGTATGCTCCTGCTATTGCTGTGTGCTCCTGCTATTGCTGTGTGCTCATGCTACTGCTGTGTGCTCCTGCTATTGCCGTATGCTCCTGCTATTGCTGTGTGCTCCTGCTATTGCTGTGTGCTCATGCTACTGCTGTGTGCTCCTGCTATTGCCGTATGCTCCTGCTATTGCTGTGTGCTCCTGCTTTTGGCGTCTGCTCTTGACTCCCATCGGCTTACTGTCTTTTAAACGGTCAAACCGTCACTTACCTCTACGGGTCCTTCCGTGTAATTAAGTGACTGTACTCTTGCTCTACGGACTGTACAGTTTTTTATTGTATCTTTTGTTAGAAAATTATATTTATTTAATCCCTTATCTTGTCTTTTTACATAATTTAACTGTACGTAGCCTACGCTACATGATAGCTTATATTAAATTAATAGAACCGTGTTAGATCTAGAGTTGGGCGGTTATCATAAATTCTTAGTAGGTACTCGACAAATTAAATCCCTAGCCTTGGTGCTGACACTTCTAAAATTTTAAATTGCAATTTTAATGTTGATTTAATACGGCACGCCAATATGGTGGCGGCACCGTGGGTGTCGTAAAAGGCGACTATAGAATATATATATATATATATATATATATATATATATATATATATATATATATATATTATTAAGTCCGTTATAAGCGGTATATCCATAACGATTCCACCGGTATAACTATTACGCGAGGCGTAAAATACCCAGACCGGCGACGATAATCAGTGTTAAAGGAGCGAAACATCTAGTATAGATCGTTATCCGCCTGTCAAGCTTGGGCGATTACGGAAAATCTTCCCTACAACGTGGGAGGCATTCTTGTTCAGTAGTGGACTCATACGGTCTAATTAAAGATGAGGATACCAAGGGCAACGAAGGAACAAAACGTCCTATAACCATATGTTTGGGAAACATTATGTTTGGGAAAGTAATATTTTAATATATCAGTGCGGCAGCCTTCTTTTAAGTTTAAACCTCCCAAGCCTGGTGGATTTGAAATAAAATAGGGCTTAAAATTTCCTGTATGTTTGTCGCTAGTTAGTGTATGTATTTAAGCAGGTTATATCTTAACACAGACATTCTCTTACGGACCACAAGTTAATTAACAGTTAATAACTAAATAACAATAATAATAAATTATAATACTAGCTATGCCCCGCGACTTCGCCCGCGTGGAATTTACTACGATTTCATGGATATCGATTTTTTTTTCGCGGAACTCTAATTTTGTTTTTGAGTAATGTTACTATCGTATAAATATTGACATTATTATTTATAGGATACTAATTGAGTGACTCAATTGTTTTGCCTTCCCGGAATCATAACACTAACACTTAAACTTTATGGTATGTTATTAAAGTTGAAATTTACTTTTAAGTATTATTACGAATTTTTTGTATGGTAATATAGAAAATTATTGTTTTTAGACTTTTTCAAACAATTTTTTAAAATTTCTCTCCGTAAAAACCATCTTCGTACTTCAAGGAATATTATAAAAAAAGAATAGCGAAATCGGTTCAGCTGCTCTCGATATTTGCGCTTAGCAACACATTCAGCGATTCATTTTTATATTATAGATTAATATCTCTAATGGAATTATAAGGAAGTAATATATTTGCATATCTTTACATTAAATATTATTTCAAATGGAACAAAATGATTTAAAAGTAGTAATGCATTTTACATGAGTTTTCCTAAAGCTTAAGATTTTTATTCAGTTGTAAAAATATTTAATCGATCATTAATGTTAGAAAGAAGGCTCAAGAAGTATCAAATACCCACTCTGGGTACTTACCCCTACATTGCGATCCTCACAAATCGATTTAACCAACCGTTTTCAAGTAATATTTTTCTGGAACTTCTAAACAGTATACTGCGTAACGAATAAAACAGCGTAAAACCCATTTCAAAATTATAGTATTACTAAAAAAAATTAAATACTACTATACACACATCACATTACCCAATTTCATTAACGGTGGCAATTTCTAGATTTAACATATTTTACTGAATTACCACTAGAATTAGAATATTCTAGTGCTAAAAGTGTACGCGCAAACACTGAAGCACTTGCATGTCTTAAAGTAAGTAAAGTTGCAGCCTATTTACGTCCCACTGCTGGTCACAGGCCTCCTCTCATTTCTGAGAAGGTTTTAGAGCAAGGAGAGGGCCGCCGCGCTGCCCCAATGCGTGTTGGCGAACTTCACATGTCTTCGAAATAT